GGAATTTTCGCTGGTCATAATCATGATGATCACCCTATATATGGGAATATACTGTGCGACGTTAAAAGTGTAGGATACTTGACTATAATGGAATAATTGACTATAATAAAAAAACTTATTTGGTAGAAAAATATGGGGGCCTATTTAATAAGACATTTGAGATCTTTGTGACAAAAACGATGAACCTTCCACGACAGAGTTCTCCCAACGAAGTCCAAATAATAAATTGATTGCTGTATTTATAAAATTTCCATTTAAATTTATAAACTAAACGCAATACAAAGCTTCAACATTGGTTAGCCACGTTTTATATATCAAATCCGAACTAGATCTATTGAAACAAGAGAACGCTAGGCTTTTAGCTGAGAATACTGAACTTAGAAACGAGAATGCTAAATTAAGACAAGATATAGAAGGGCATGAAGCCAGAATCACGAAGCTAGAACAGGGAGAAAAAAGTATTACTAATGTTTCGCAATCTTCGGTCTGCGAAGCAGGATACTCTGTATCTAATATCAACTCTTCCGAAATGGAAATTTCTAATGATACTCCTATATCCGATATAACCGATGATGCTTCAAATTCCAATATATACCAACCTATCTGTACAAGCCTAAATCATCGGAAGATAAGGAAATGAACAATTTCCTAGATTCAACATATAAAGAAAAGAGATAATTCAAAACATTAAGGACAAGAAACTTCGAGATCAAGAGAAAATCATAACTTCCCAGGATATTAAATCTTCTTTGAATGTAAAAGGTGGGCAGGTGTTGATCCAAAAATTATTTACTCCAGAGCCGTCTCTACAAGAATCGAATATAATGCAAAACCATGTGACTGAAATTTCCGAGACCGGCGGTCCCGGAAAAATCTCATCTGAAATAGAGACAGGTAATATAACCATACCCTCTATTCCATTGTTCCATACCTCTAGCTCCATGACTGCCTCTAGCAATTCAGAAGATAAGATAATTGAGGAAGTCTCACGAAATGAGGATGCTATTGCATCAGAATCTTTACCGGAAACCGAGATCAAGATAAGTATATCTACTGAATCTCACGTTTCCGATTCATCTAAAGCTGAGGTAAACGTAGTGCCTAAAAAGGTTTCACCAGAAAATCAGATGAGTGTATCCCCACCATATGAGAATAAAACTTGACTGACCTCGATTCTTCGCATAACCCGTCACTCCAGCATCTGTAATGCGTAAAGTTTTAAGTTCAGCAGGACGAATACAAAGCATCACCATAACATCAGCAAGAGCCTGACAATCAGGTAAAGTTTTAATATCATACGCATCTAATCTTTCTTTGACTGATTCTAATGTAAATTCATCTGGATAATCGATACGTTTAGCTTCAGCTTTTTTCCGATTGACACTCTGGATTTTGTTGGCATCTTCTGTAATATCTGGAAATTACGTAGCCTCAATTATCTCAAGTGATGCATTAAGGTTCCTTAATTCTCTACGAAGACGAGTGAGGCGTGATGAGCCAGCATTAGCATTTTTTGCTGATAGGGCTAAGGTATAAGCTTCAGCTCTTACATCTCTAATACTAAGTTTATCCCGTAAAATCCGTTGCGCCATACCCCCAATAGTTTTTTCCTCCATTCCTTTAGAGAGTTGATTGGCGATTACAATATTTACGTTTTTATCTGAGGTAGTTACACTGTGTCTACTTCCGTTTTTCTGGATTGAGAATAAGGCGTTTACTTGATCTTCACTAAGCCCATATCTATTTTGCAGGATTCGTTTTGCTTTCTCTCTGACGATCTCTTCTTCCAAATTTTTTGGGGGCTTGGTTATAGCTATTTATTCTACAATTACCTTCAACCAAATTTATAGTTTTATTTTTCCCACTTCTCTGATTAGGTATCAATACACCTACCTGTTCACTGTTAAATTTAAAACCATTCCGAAGACGTCGTCGAGCTTGATTCCGCTTTCTATCATCGGTAAGGTTTTCAAGAAATTCTGAGGTACATTTACTGAGATCGGACACACTCATCTTGGGGCTGAGATTGTATTTTTCAACAATTTTAGTTACGATAGCTGACATGATCTAATGTTATAGTAGGTCAAGTAGTTTATGAACAGTTCTTTAGGTTATATATATACTATGGAAAATATTTTTTTCAAATCGAAATTAATTATCCTGGATCAGCATATACTGTATACCGAAAATTGAATGGGTGGTGGTTATTGTAATTCTATTGAGAAATGGATATGGGTAAGACACGAGATCAATCAAAAGTCTTGGAATCCATAGCTTTAAGTAATAAAATCACTAAAAATATCAATGGGATCAAAGAGGATATAGCATTACTTAAAGAGGTTTTGGAAAAAATAATCAATATATGCCAGGTATATGATACACGTCAATACCTTGGGTCGGATCTGTCAATTTGAAATTTACCAATACATAGGATATAACGAAAAAATTTGCTTTGCATGTACGTAGTGCATATAGCTTCAGAGTTGTGATCCAGGCTATATTAAAGTTTACGATTCATTTTTATTTTTTATGTGTCGAAGACACTAGCTTCGCTATAATGCTTGGAATAGATTCCGGTATGTTTCTATACTTATAAACCATTTCCTATAAATATCTGGTCTGTTTTCCATTACATCAATCGGTGGTGTGGGACAGAGCATTCATGTATCTAATTTGCTCAGGATAATAATAATCCATAATATCTGGTAATTGTAGAAATTCAGCTAAATCTTTTACGTACCTAAAACCATTGCGCATTAGTTTGCGGAATGTTGGTCCGTTGTGATCGATCTCTCTTTTGGTTAATAGGTTGACTACTTTCTGGGGTGTTTCCATTGGGTATATGTAAGCTAAGATATTTTATCTTATCTTATATTCGAAATATTTAATAGTTTTTTATATTTGAATCTTATGTATATTATACAATATATCCTAACATACTTTATGGATCGCGTTATCTGCCCTCATATTAAAAGAGATGGATCCATTTGCGGAAATAAATGCTGGCGACCTACGGGTTGTTACAGACATTGGAGTTTACATGAGAAAAATATAGAAAAATTTCCTTGTGGTATTTGTGGAAAACCTTCTATATCTATTACGGCGTATTGTCCAAAACATTCTGGTCGATTTCATTCATTGAATTATCGAATGAGACAAAAAGGGCTTATTACCCAAGATGATGCAGAACATCGAAGCTTTGCTTCTTCTGAGTAGGCTCGAAGAAGAGGTAAAACCTCGAATTTCCAATTCATCGCCTATGGCTTGTTTTACAGGCCCGTAGGGCGACTCTTTGAGTCATAGATAAAATTTTTAGTATATGCCATTTTAGGCGACACAAAAAATTTTTCCAATCGCGTTTTTTAAGCGTCACAAAAACCCCCTTTGTAAGTTATATCATAGGCCATTATTAAGTAGATATATACATTAACAGACGTCAAACAAATCTTGACGCAACTGTATTTCAGAACTGGGAGCGATCTCTAGTTCATCGGGAGAGAGTTTACTATACCCATAACGCATATCCTCACCATTTTCATAGAATTGTCCTTCACTCATTTGGTATGCTGGCAACTTTGGGACATCTTCACTATCGAACATACCTACTAGATGATAATGAGTTCGTTTATTATTAATAGCTTTAAACTTTAACCCATAAGTTGCGGAAAGCGCTGAATTTAATAAACCAAGTTTCGCTTTGAGTGTTTTTAATTTCGATTTTTTAGCACTACGAGACGCGTCTGTATTATCAAAAACTCGAGCCATTTTTGGTACTAAATCTTGGAGATACTTTATAGACTTAGGCGATTCTAAACACGATTTAACAATATCAGCTTTATATCTATCCCGATCATCAATATCTTTAACAGGTGTACAAGTCTTTAGTAATTTCAGACAAATTCGATGCTTCTCACCTAGGGTAGCGGTTGTAAGTCTATCATTCCTATAATCTTCACGGGGTAATTGCCTCTCATTGTTAGTACCGGCATCTCGTAGTTTCCGGAGATTTCTAAACCATTTCATTTCATCGTATTTACCATAATCTGTGATAAATTCCTCTGTTAAAGATTCAAGTGACATTCCATAGCAATCTGCAATATGGTACTAGTAACTTTGTCGTGCCTAAAAAAAACGGCAGTCCCGTGATGTAAAGCCACATTTGCCACAGCAGACAATTGGATA